TGGTAAACAAGATTAATCCAAGAGAAATAGCAAAATCCGAAATCCGATCCGTGATCTACGTACGAAATTATTAAAGAAGATGAAAAGAACAAGTTTTCTTTTCCCAAAACTAAGGAACGAAAAAATATATTCTGAAACCTAGGCTGCTGCCATGAATGAAAAAATCGCCCCTTCCAAATATCACAAATCTGATCTTTTTAATCTGCTAATCGTGCGACTCGCGGCCGCGGAGAGGCTCACGGGCCGCGGCGAAGATTTGCTCCGCGGCCGTGAACCATCCCGAGGCCGCGGGTTTTTAGCTCTGAAGTTCCGGTCGCTTTCTTCCATTTGCTCGCCGCGGCCGCGGTGAAGGAGAGTTCGCGGCCGCGGCCTTGAAACCTGGGCGCGGCGAGAAGATTTGCAGCAGGAGGGCGCCGCGGCGTGGAGCTTGTCTCGCGGCGCGACGGGGTGTGGTTCCGCGGCGTGGAGCTTGTCTCGCGGCGTGGAGCCGGTGATGTTCGTGGCGTGAAGGCGTCCCGCGGCGTGAGGGGAGCTGACTGGGTGAGTTCTGGTCGTGGCCGTCGCGGCGTGGAGTGGAAAGATCGTCGTCGCGCCGTGAGGGAGGTACAGCGGGAAGAAAAATACGCCGGGACTCATCGGCTACATTCGACACTCCGATGGAACTTGACGGGACCCGACGGCTAAGAACGGTGGTCCGGTGATTGCGATGGAGATGCTGTTCACGTCAAGGAGAGCTTCTCGTGGCGGTTGGAGGGTTGTTCTTCTCACTAGCTCGCTGCAAGACGACCTCGTGCTCGGTTGGGACCGGTTGACGAATAGGTTCGAGGACGCTGGAGAAAATGGAGGTCGAGGGGCTCGGGCCTGACTTGCTTTACTTTTCGTTTAGAGTTCGTTTGCTTGGAAACCAAATTCGACTTCGTCTTTTACCCAATCAAATTCTTCCTCTATATATCAAAATCAGCTACGAACTCAACCTGCACACCACACGACACGACAACAAAAACGGAGAAAACGACAAAAATAATCGAAAAACACATAAAGACTCTAAGAAGATGAAAACACACGATGAGAAACAAAATGGACCAAAACTAAGAGAAAAAACATAAAATGGGGGAAAAAGAAAAGAAAAATAATCAAGAAAAAATGTAACAAAAATGGGACAAACAACTCCCCCACACTAAGACCTTTGTTCGTCCCGAACAAAAAGAAAACAAAAGACACGAAAATAAGCAAACGAGCATGGATAACAGTTTCAGACAAGACAAGTCTCAAATACATCAACTTAGCCGAGGAGAATTCCAATGACCAATCCTGCATACCTCAACTACACTTGAATGCAACATTTCGAAAAGACAACTCTCAAGCACGGGAATATAATATGTATATGCCTCACTCAGTTTCTTTCGTGAATATAGAACTGGGGCGCTCAAATTGGTCGATCACCATGCATCAACATAAGCTTGCTCATTGTCTATTCATACTCTAAAACAATCAAAATAATGAATTGTAAATCAAAAGGACTTCCGGGTTGTAGTGTAGGCATCAGGGAAGGGAAAATATAAGGACAGAATGGCTCAAATAAACAATCACATCTTCGAGCATATAAACTACTCGAATATCCCACCACCTATCCAATATCAGCACAACATCAATCATTCCCATCAAAATTCCATGCAACATTCATATATGCTCAACTGAATTGCACTTCAAGTACTCAACTTTTTCTCTTTTTTTTTTTATTATTATAATTTTTCTCTCTTTTTTTTTTAAGGGGGTTTGCTTTTTCCTAACAAAATCGAGAAGTAAGGACAACATTCTCTAGGTTTAAACATTGGAGGTCATCCAAGTTTCCTAAAGTAGTTTCCCAATACTCATTACTCGTGAAAAATTCCACGAATAAGCGGAGTAGAATCATTTCCGTCCGTCTTGCGAGTCCCCATTTATTATACTTTTTCAATTTTTTTTTATTTGTATTTTTTTTATTTTTTTCGAGTACCCAAAATGCAACTGAAACAAGTTATACCCTTTCTCCAACACAAAACAGAAGCTCCGTCATCAAAATAACTAAACTGTCAAGTCCCAAGAAATTCAATCAATACGGTTGACAAGAAATAGGTTCAGGCTCAACGGGCTACTAATGAATATTTCACATCAAGAGTCAAAGAAAAAGGCCAAACGAGCAATGTCAAAGAAATGCCTCAATCATTTTCACAATTCACTACTTCAATCACTTCATTTCGAAACAGACTAAAAGCTAGTTCTGATCAACAAGAATTCGACCAATATCTCTCAAGAAACAAAATAAGGCTCAAACCTCTCATAGGGTAAATAAATGTCCAACAAAACGAAACATCAAGTTCATCAAAATATACTAGTCATGATCATCATCACATCTTCTCAACATCATCAACAATTCTCGACAAATCTCAAAATCACTATTATCCGTACTCGAGAAACACACAAGCTGACTCAAGAAAAGACACTCAAACGGAAACAGAGAATAAAGAAAACATCCTAAAAGACCTAGACCTGATCAACCACATAAGGACATAATCATGTAAGAACTCCCCCACACTTAAAATCGAACAATGTCCCCATTGTCGATCTTAAATGCAAGGAAAGTTAACTCATATAGTCAATCAACAAGAAAAGAAAAACAAGGACACAAAACCAAATACGAAAATAAAAAGAAGGGAAAAGATACAAACGTACAGGACACAGTGACTAGACAGTCACTGTGAATCCGGTGGTGCTCGTGGAGGGTGGAGGAAGTCAGGCCCCGAATAACGGCGGGCCTCTGTCAGCTCAAATCTCTCGCCCCATAGGGATCGGGGCAAAACTCGGGAACTCGGCTCGGGTGGGATCAAGGGGCGGTTGGTACAGCGTTCTAGCTCATCCATAGCTCGATTCTGCAATGCCATCTTAACGTGCTCTCGCATGCACGCATCCTCAGTCAGCTGCTCAATCGCCCTGAGGTAAGCACACTCTTCAATCACATTCGCCTGCGGC